TACAATGAGACGAATTTGGGAAGTATCCCCTTAATTACATGATCAACTTCGAGTATTGTGTTTATGCTTCGAAAGAATTCGAATTATTTGGATTGTGACATTACTGTAATTTTCGAGTATTTTTGTATTTTTGTATCGCTTGGATATGGTATTCTTGATTTTAGAGGCTTATTATTATTTTCATTGATGAAAAATAATTTTAGGAAATGGAATTACTTAATATAAATAATGTATTCTTAGGATTTACATATTTATTTTACATAGAAAGAGTAAATAAAGTTACACTAATAACACAATATTTTGTGCTCAATTGCGTTGTTACAATTAATACAACAGCTTCTTTAAAATACATAACTATAGTATAAATAACATAATTCAATAACAAACAACACTATAAGGCAGTCGTACATATATACATAATATCAATTGCACATATGAAACATAAGACATATTTACTTAGTGCCAACTATTGAGGTAATTTAGTAACATAGGGCAAAAAATGTTGAAAATAAAAATTGTTAAGTTTAGAGCTCATATTATTTTCAAAGAATTCGTCGTCTCGTTGAATCTTTTCGAAAAGAAATCCTTTCGGCGTCCATACAACAAAATAACAAAAATCGCGCTTAGTTATGTGTAGCTGTCCCTGAACCTGATAAAAATAATTATGATTTTGTTTTAAGTGCATAGTGTCATTTTGGAAAATAGCGTATGTAATTTTTTTTGTTAAAATAGCTTCCTGAGGTGTTAGTGTTCTACAGCTGTAAGGGCATTTAATTTCAACAAGGCCGTTAGAACCAATAAGACCGTCTGGACTCGCTCCAAGGTAATTTGCTTGTTCATCGATATAAAATCCAGACGGTTCTACAGATTGCTCCAAGTACTCAGAAAACTCTGTGATTGCTATGGGTTCGTGTTCAATTCCGTAAGAAGTACTTTTTGAGGAAAAACTTTGAAGGAAGTTTTTTATTGTTTTACCTGGATTTGTTGTAGGCCTCAGTTTACAAATTTTACCGAACATAGAAGCGGTAATCCTTTTTCGTCTTTCTGTAAACCATAATGCGGATTGTCTTTGTTCTTTTGTATTCTCTGCAATTTCTAATATTTCTTCCTTAGTTTTCTTCAATGATCTAAGAAACACGTTTGTTCTTCTTGTCAGTTCTTCAGCATCTAAAATTTCTTCCACGTCCCCATAGTCTTCGTCTGCCTCAGCAACAACTTGCTTCTTATTGGATTTCTTTGTTTTTTGAAATAGCTGTCTCTTGCAGTTTAATTTCTTTTTTCTTTCAATAAACTTTTTTGTGTGGAAACCGGGACTTTTATCAGTGATTGCTTTGTGCAAAACCGATTGAAATGCAACCCCTGTATTGTAGCAAATACTCGCCGCTTGACACCTCATTTTATACCCTCCTCTTTTTGAAAAGTCTACTCTCTTTCCTCCAATAAACTTAGCAACGACGCTGTTATATGATTCCGCGGAATTGTTTGTCATATTTTTGATCAAACTTTTACTATTGTATATAAGTCTGTTAGCAAAAGACATGATATCATTGTACAACCCACATTGTTTTAAAGTCGAAACTTGATTAAATTCATTTGGTTTATCACCTTTGCAAAAGTAATTATCACATTTCTTATGTTCACCAAAAACATGAGAAACACTGTTTTCTATGTCTTTTTTCAAATTATTGACTTGGTCTTGAAATGAAACATCCTGAGATCTTCTATATTTGACCGCGCAATCCACTGCTGTTCTAAGGCGTTGTATGGACTTTTTCAGAAATTCTCGAAGAAAAGGTGCGATGGGAAGTCCTTTGGAACTAAATTTTTTTGTTGCTAGATTTTTTAAGTTAGTGCAATAGTTCCTTAACAAATGATTAGAGCACTCAATTTTTTCCACTACATACGGACTCTCTGCTTGAAGTCTCTTCAGAACACTACTGTCGCCATCACCAACGAGATACGCATATTTTAGTCCGTGAATTGATATGCTTTGCTTAAATCCCTCTAAAATAATGTCACTTTCCATCCCAGTAGATGTTCCGTCCCAGTTTTTAAAACATACATGCTCCATTCCTCCCATATGACACATGGCACAGAATTTATTGCGTATTCCCAGGAATAAGAGTTTAGCGGTCCTTTGTCCAACGATACATGCTGCACCAGAACGAGCGTTGTATGCTGAACGATAAGATCGTTTACACCACGCTCCGTCAGTTATCACTGTGATCATCGGAATATCATTTTCGTCAACATCGCCATTTTCTTTGGCCATCTCTGCTTCTTTTTTCCCAGCTTCAATCATGCATTTCCAAGACTCTTCTTCAATAATTTCTTGCAAATTATCTTCTACATCTTTATATCTTTTATAAGATATTTCTGGGATGTTCATGGCACTGACAAATTCATTTAATTGTGAAAATCCGCAACCGATGCTTATTGCACCCAGTACCGCAGCTCCATTTGTATTTAATTTTCCATCAGTTTTATCTGAATAAACTTTATGCTCAACTTTACATAAGTCGCATATTAATACAAATTCAGAAATAAAACCTTTTCTTACTTCCTTTAAAATGCGAACAGTGTTTCCAGAAGAGCCCGAAGAACAAGAAAATAATCCATGGTGAGGAAATGACAAAATCTGCTCGATAAATGATTGTACTTCAACGATTCTTCGCCCGCCCATCGAATCGCTGATTACCTTTTCCTTTTCGCAAGGCGTACTTTCCTGAGAGCAGTATAAAGAGTCCTGACTATTGTTTGAATATTTCCAATCTTCTTGTTCTATAATGCTTGCAGAAGTACTGGGTTGATCAGTTGTCGTACTAAAAGATGCGGCTGTGTGTTCTTCAATTATTAGGCTACTATTTGAAGCAGCATTTTGTCCACCATTTTTTAGTGTGTCGGGATTTGTGGACCATAACGTACGCATTGCTATTCTGAAAATAAACCAATATTAATATTGTAAAGGTATACTTTTGACCCTACAGTTCAGTGGATAACAATGTGACACAAGTAAATGTTCTTTAACTCAATACTTTTATTTCACCTAATTTTTATGCACTTAAAGTACGAATAAAAAACTTCTCTTACCTTCGCTTTGCCAACAGTCTTTTGTTTTTTCGATGACGGGTAAGTCCCAATTGTTTATTCTTACATCCTCCCATTTTGTTGAGGTGGAGATAAACGAGATGAACGTGATAAATAAAAAACTACTATACACTACGATTTATACACTACCACTTTTCGCAAGTTTTTTGATGTAGAAAATAAACACTTGTATTATAATATTTTATCTTGTGAAACGATCCCTAAGATAAATAACAAGAAAATTACTAGGTCCCAAATTTATATGAGTTTTTCTTTCCTCCACCAAGATTCATCCCCAACCACTTTCTAATTTGCCTATCAAAAATTAGCATTCTGTTGTGACGTAGCCTTTCAAATCCAATCGGCATCAATATATCCACCTGCGAGAGAATTTCCAGGAACAGACTGTTTTCACGCATCTGTTTTTAAATTTCTCATATTCGGGCACCCAAAATTTCTGACGAATCTTAAGAGTCGTCATGCATCACCATGTAATGATCAATAACAACTTTATAGAAATGGGTTCGGTCTTTTTTTACGGCCCAGCGATTTACACCATATCCCATTTCCACAAGAAACGTAGTAAGTATTTGACTTATCGTGATTTACGAGTTGGTGCAGCGCAGCGTGTGACAAAGACAAGAACAGTTGAAACAAAACATTCGAGAGTTGATTTCTGATGTAATGTAAGGGTATTTTCTAGCTGGAATTTTGGGCACAACTATTAAAAACAACTTTCAGTACTTATTTAGAATGGTTGATATAGGAATGATAGAGCCCGCTGGATCATTTTCGAATGAAAAAACTCACACAGTCGCCACAAAAAAATAGTACAAAGCTATGATTTTATTAGGGTTTTTAGGATTTTTTTACACAAAACTGTGATTTTTTTTGCAATTTCAAGGATACAGCGGGCTTTAGATTTAGTTCTTCTAAACGCACGATTTTTTTCGTCATAACTGGTTGCTTAGTTTTGGCGCAAAATGTGTTCGAAAACAGCTGAAATTGTACCAAATTTCTACCGGGAAGTATCCCCTTAATCCAGAAATAAAGGAGCATGTTATAATACATTTTAACGAGAGATTTACGTAACCAATGAATAGACAAATGTCGATTAGCGTGATGTCATTATTTTTATAATCTTAAACTGAAGGTAAAATATTAAAGAATTAGGAAACCTGCATTTACGTATTTTATCGGGTTTCAAACCGAAGAAAATTGAAAATTAGACATTCACAATACGTTCTTTAGTTATTGCAAGGGAAGCAAAATACAAGACATTGTTAACAACAAGGAATCTGTATGATAAAATCTAGCATGACTAAAGCCAATATACCAAAAACTAATAGACTCCTGTTTCAACGAAATTAAAAAACACATAAACTGTGAAACTTTATAGACCTAAAAAACCCCATAACTCTGGGAAAACAAAGTCAAATATCAGTATTATCCTTGCTAAATTTGAGACACAATTAACGCGATACCCACCGGTCAAACAAAAACTTCCAGATACTAAAACCCGTCTTCCTCCTCCAATTCCTCCAACTTAGTCTCATCCAACACCCAATTACCTTGTCAAGGTCCCACTTCAAACAAAACCCTCACCACTCACCGTCCCCTAAATAAACCCATCCATCTCAACCTAAAATTAGCCGATCGGCATCTCGATTGTTGATTTTTTCGCTCTAATTTTAACCCTCAATTGCTTCAAGTGTGAGATAACTTCAACACACACCAGGAAAAACCGTTGGAAAAACATCTAAATGTGTAAATGTGTCATTATTCCGTGCGCTTGTTGCGTGTAACCGCACTTTTATCCTCGAACGATCAGTTTCCGTGTTTGGGACGGGATTAGGCATGCATTAAGGGCATTGTGTCACGCATCTTGTGAGTTATGGCTGGTCAAGACTTACCGGAGTTCAGATCGATGCTTAGGGCGGCATTTTTCGCTTGCCCGGCCGATATTTCGTGCTCGACAATGTATTCCTCGTAGCGTAGGCCCTTATCGTACTCGATTATCGGGCTGAAAGCGGCTCTTGGGGCTAAATTCAGCACCAGAAGGGCGACGGTGTATCCGAAGATGATTCCCGGCATTTTTCATTTTTGATGGCACGCGCGGACCTGGAATAAAACCCAAATAATGAATTATACTAAGAACTAATCGTCAAATCTACTACTCTGAAGTCTTTTTCAAGACTTACGGATTTACACAGTCGTTGAAAACTAACACTTTTGTGCATAAAATGATCTAAGCGGAACTGGGTGTTTAAATAATGTAGTGTCTGTAGCAATTATTGTGTCAAAGTGGGACGTGATTTTTGCCGCCTCTTTAAAACAAGAACTATAGTCAAATTGTCAAAACGGCGTTGCAAACTAATTTGTGTAGGCTACTTAATGTCATCATATGAAGTTCAAGCTTGTTCAATAGAATTAATAACTTAGAAGATTATACATTCACATTTACTCTGTATTATACAGTACGTGTCACTTGAATAAATTTTCTGTTGGACCCACCTGGTTACCGCACACGTGCTTATACGAAGACATTCCGCCATTTTGATAAACTTTTTTTATTTTTCTAAGTTCTAAATAATAATAATAAATCGACGCAGGTTGAAAGGTAGGGGGTTAATAAAATATAGAAGAAAAGAAAAAGTACGTTTTCGAAAGATTACGGATGCATAAAAAGACTTTAATAAAGTAAAAAAAAGTATTATAAGAAGAGCATATAACTTATGAAAAAAAATTGTTACTTTAGGCCGCATATGAGAATGCAGTTTGTTTCCGAGTGTTGCAACCCAATGAGTAGGTGACATATCCTCTAAGAAAAGAGGGGTGGGTGGGCGGTACTAGTAGCTGCCAAGATAACACTGATTTCGGCAAATGGCACCCTCTAAGAAAATGGAGCGTAGAGGGTATATCATTTGGCAAAATTAGTCTTATCTTGGCAAGTATTGGCCCCGCCCACCCACCCTTTATTTTCTTCGAAGGTATACCATTTGGTAATATCAGTTTTATCTTAGCAAATACTAGCCCCGCTCACCCGCCCTCTCTTCTCTTAGAGGGTGTCTAATTTACCGACATCAGTCTTATTTTGGCAAGTACTAGCCCCACCTAGCCGCCCTTTATTTTCGTAGAGGGTATGTTATATGGCAATATCAGCCTTATCTTGTCAAGCACTACCTCCGCCCACCCACCCTTTATTTTCTTAGAGGGCTAGCTGATTTTCGCAAATGACATACCCTCTAAGAAAATGAAGGGTAGAAAGTATATCATTTGGCAAAATCAGTCTTATTTTGAAAAGTATTGGCCCCACCCACCCACCCGTTATTTTCTTCGAAGTTCCGCTTTTTTGACTTTCGATATTTCGATTTTTCTATATTTCGATTCTTGCATTTCTCAAATTTGGAATTTCCAACTTTCGGTTTTGTTTTTCGATTTTTAGATTTTCAAATTTTCCGATATTGGAATTTTCAATTTTTTTTACTTTCCGATTTAGAATTTTCGGTTTTTCGATATTCGAATTTTCAGTTTGTTTCCTCTTCAATTTCTTGATTTTTCGATTCTTCGATTTTTCAGTTTTTCCAAATTTGGGTTTTTAGACTTTTATTTTTTTTACATTTCGAGCTTTCGGTCTTTGAATTTTCAATTTTTTGAGTTCTCGATTTTTCCATTTTTCGAATTTTCAGTTTCTTAAATTTCGACTTTCCGATTTTTCGATTTTAGAATGTCTGATTTTTTGACTTTCGATATTTCGACCGTCCTATATTTCGAGTCTCGGATTTTTTGAAGTCTCGATTTTCCAACAATTTTTGGATTTTTAGATTTTCGAATTATCGATTTTTCAATTTTGCGATTTTCAATACTCGAATTTTCAAACTTTTAATTTTTTTTTAATCTCCGATGTGAATTTTCAATTTTTTTCGATTTTTCGAATATTTGATTCATCGAATTTTCAATGTTTCCTGTTCAATTTCATAATTTTTCAATTAATTTTAATTTCATTGATTTTTGGATTTTTCGATTTTACTATTTCTCCATTTGTAAAGATACTAAAAATGTACTTTTTAGTATCTTTAGTTTTTTTCCTCTTCGATTTTTTGATTTCTCTAGTTTTTGATTTTAGACACTCGAATTTTCAAACTTTTTACATGTCGATTTGATTTTTAGAAATTCCGATTTTTTGACTATCGATATTTCGATTTTTCTATATTTTTTTCTTGGATTTCACGAATTTGGAATTCCCAATTTTCGGTTTTGTTTTCGATTTTTAGCTTTTCAATTTTCAGTTTTCTGATTTTCCAAATTTTTCAATTTTCGAATTTCAATACTGAAATTTTCAATTTTTTTACTTTTCAATACTTTTCATTATCGATTTTTGGACTTTCCGATTTAGAGTTATCGGTTTTTCGATATTCGAATTTTTAGTTTGTTCCCTTTTCAATTTCTCGATTTTTCATTTCTTCGACTTTCCGAATTTCGATTTTTCAGTTTTTCCATTTTTGAATGTTTAGAGTTTTCATTTTTTTACATTTCGTGTTTCCGATCTTTGAATTTTCATTTTTTTGATTTCTCGAGTTTTCAATTTTCTGTAGCTACTCGAATTTTCAATTTTTTTTTTTCGATTTTTCGATTGTTAATTTTTAAAATGTTCGATTTTTCCATTTTTCGAATTTTCAATTTCTTAAATTTCGAGTTCTTGATTTTTCAGTTTTTCTATGTTTCGACCTTCCGATTTTTCGACATTCCTATATTTCTCGATTTTCGAATTTTCAATTTTTCGATTTTTAGGTTTTCGAATTTTCGATTTTTAATTTCGTGATTTTCGAAACTCGCAATTTCAAAATTTTTACTTTTCGATTTTTGACTTTTAAAATTCAACATTTTTCCATTTTTCGACTTTCCGATGTGAATTTCCAAATTTTTTTTTCGATTTCCCTATTTTTCAATTTTTCCATTTTTCGATTTTCGAATTATCGTTTTTTTCGATTTTTCGAATATCTGATTCATCAAATTTTCAATGTTTCGTGTTCAATTTCATAATTTTTCAATTCATTTCATTGATTTTTCGAATTTTCGAATTTTCGATTTCACAACTTTTCCATTCTTCAGTTTTTAGAATTTTAATTTTTTTTTCCTCTTCAATTTCTCGATTTTTCAATTCTTCGACTTTCCAAATTTTCGAATTATCAGTTTTTCCATTTTTGAGTTTTTAGAGTTTTCATTTTTTACATTTCGAGTTTTCGGTCTTTCAATTTTCGATTTTTTGATTTTTAATTTTTAGAATGTTCGATTTTTCCATTTTTAGATTTTTAATTTTTAGAATGTTCGATTTTTCCATTTTTCGATTTTTAGATTTTCGAATTTTCGATTTTTCAATTTTGCGAGTTTCGAAATTTTTACGTTTCGAATTTTGACTTTTAGAATTTCGTATGTTTCCATTTTTCGATTTTCCGATGTGAATTTTCAATTTTTTTTTTCGATTTCTCTATTTTTCAATTTTTCCATTTCTTTCCGAATTTTCGATTTTCGAATTATCGTTTTTTTCGATTTTTCGAATATTTGATTCATCGAATTTTCGATTTTACAACTTTTCCATTCTTCGGTTTTTAGGACTTTTATTTTTTTCCTCATCGATTTTTTGATTTCTGGAATTCACACACCACAACTGCAGGAGTATCTTATTTTATAAAATTGAAATAATATATATAATACAAAATGTGACAACAATCGGTCCAGTAGTTTCGGAGATTACTTGTCCAATTAAAAATGGATCCAGACACCAGACAGACAGACAGACAGACAGACAGACGGAAATGGGAGAGCACTTTTTTCGTACTCTAGAGGTCATACCACGTTGAGAAAATATGAAAGTGACAATTCGGCCGATGGACTCAATTACTATACTTCCTTAGCTTACATTTGGGAAGTAAAAAAGTGACCCATTACATCAGCCATCTTATACTAGTACCAAAATAAAAAAAATGCTCCTCTAGTAGGCTGTGCAATTTATTTTTAAAATAACGATGTTGGCAATGCAGCTATTTGACCTTTATTGGACAGCAACTGTCAAACTGAGCAAGGAACGTGTGGGTGTTGCCAACATCATTATTTTAAAAATGAATTATACGGCCTACTGGAGGGTTTTTTTCTTTCTTCCATTAATTTATACGGCAATGTGGAACAAAAAAAAATGGTCAAACAAGAAACGAAGTTATACCGCGTGATCAGAAATAGTTGAGTCTGTTGGCAATCTTGGATTTTTAGTTGAAATTGGTGTCACGATGTTTTCTATCATTTCCGGTTGTCAACTGTCAAGATTGACCGATTGTTGAAATTTTTCATGTGCAAAATGTAGCCAAAACCTAACCTACATTTATGGCATGTCACGATTGACATATCTGTCACACAATGACTTCCGTTATGCCAATATAAACGCAAAAAAAAACACAAATTCGGGTTGTCAGCTGTCATCGATTAAATTTTAGGTTAATACTTGCCATATCGCTTCTCAATCTTTGTAAAAAATCAAAGCGAACCTGACGATTTTTCCAATTAAACACCCGGTAGTTTGAAATGATACAGTATGAGAAAGAAGTGTAACAAATTCGCTAAAAAAAAAAACACAAACGTGTGAACGAATATCGACTATAAAGTGTAATAGATACGAAAGACTGCAATAACAATGAGATAAAATGCGTCAGAGGAGAGGTGATAAAAATACTGTAAACTTAGAACAAGGATTCAATTATCCTTTTTGGTAACCCGAACACACAAACGCCAAGGACACATCGAAATTCGACCTAGAACTCTGTAAAATATCGACGCACTCGAACGTTCCTAAAACGACATCAAGCTTTAAATGACTAAAATTCCAAAAAAGAGAATTTGTTTATACACTTTTCGTGTTTTGACGCCAACAGCTTTTATCATTTTGGCCGGAACATATTATTTTATCATTATCCGGGGATTTTCTGACGCTTCAGATACCGTCTAGGTTTGTAAACACAGAGGAAGTGTTCAAGTTCGAATTGCTTAAATATCAGTTTGTGGTTGAATTTCACTATTTGTGGTTTTAAAATATGTGTTTTTCGAAAAATATAACTTTAATTGACAACTTA